ATTCTCTCTGAACAGAGACTTTGTGAGCGTGAACGCTTCGAGCTTCGCGGGAGCCGAGACCACAAATAAAGTTGACCACGGATTCGAAGCGGGAAAATGAGAATTTAAGAGCTCCTTGAGCACTTCAATTTCCCCAGTTTTGCCTGGATACACTCCTCGATGAGTTCTACAATAAGCAGCAGGAGCGATCGCAAGAGTGAGCACACAGCTGTTTCTCTGATAAAGCGTTTTCATACCGTCCAGTATAAGGGCTAATATTCCGAACTAATTAGTTATAAATGCTCCACCATTTGTGTGCATTGCATAAGTCGAGGATTTCCTCATTTGTATTACATGCACACCGTAGCTGAATAGCGTTAGAGACATGAGAAATTCTGAAGAAACTTTAGGATGGCATAAGCAATTGACGCGGCCCATTTTCTTCAAAAGAACAGAGCAATTCAAATCCACGCGTTAACCAAAATCAACAACACCATTCTTAGTTTTCCGACACGCCGAAAACGATGGTTGCTATGCCGATTTACGAAATTTCCAAATAAGTCAGAAAACTGAAAAAATCAGGGGTGGCATAAGCAATTGACGCGCACTATGTATGCCCGAGGACCGCATGACAATATGTGTATGAGTACTTTTACACCCCAAAATAAGCTTAAAGGCCAAACCTTCCCCCTCTGAATCTCTGCAAAACTTCATTTCATCACAACCCGAAGAATGTTTATCACAAAATGAAGCTCATGAAGATACAATGAATTCATATGACATGTTGGAGAATACAGACTGCTTGAACTCACTAGAGTAACCACCAGCACTACGTAACTGCCCATCGACATTACTGAAAAAGGAACGGTTGATTAACGCTTTGTCGATCCTCCTTACGATGCTTAGAAATTACATCACAAGAGGATGCAATCATACTTTCATAAATAGTGGAGTTTTCTGACATTATTATATTTAGGAAGTTAAAACCGAACCTATTTGAAAGCAATCCTATTAACCAGCACACTAGTCTCGTCAACGAAACACTGGTTGTAAACCGTTTGAATGAGTTCTACGTATTCTTCCCTCACATCCAGCGGCACGGGATCAAACATGCTGTGACGAGTCTGAATCAATTCATCTCATTCGGAGACATCGCGTTTAGATTGCTTTTTGGAAAACCTGCACTCACCTTAATATGATCCTTGACCGACGTTGATGAATAGCAGCTGCTGAAGTTGCAGCAAGGACACAAGAACATTGGCTGTTTTATGTGATGCTGAAATCAAAAAAGTGGTAATGAAAGACAGACCATTATCATGTAAATTTACCTGTAAAACGTGCCGCTCCAAATGTTTCACGTTAGACTCAAAGCACAATCTACAAGTGTTTCGGGACTGGCTTCGAGTTAAGATTGTTGGGTGCTCACTAAAACTCGCTGCTGATGAAATCGACTCTGGACCACCATTTCGGAAGCGGAAACCTGAACTATATTAAATAGCCTTGGTGATCCTTAGACAATTTCTAAAGCAAATATTCACTACACAATTATTAGGTAATATTTACAGAACATTATAGCTAGCTATTGTGCTGTTATTGTTTTTACACTGTATGCATAACGAGGTTTTTAAGATGGGATCTTTATTAACCGGCCTCATTTTTTGCCGTATATGACACTGACTAGAGTGAGGTTCATTGCTATATTGATGCCATACTAACACAAAGCGTGAGCTAACGCTCCGCATCGGTGGAATCTTCGTCGAGATAAGCTTTCGTTTTCTACGAGCGGTTGATCGAGTAGCTAACAAATCAAAAGCTTCAGACAATCTCCAGGCCTCTGAAGAAGACGAAGCGGTCGAAACGTAAGGCCAGTAAATAAAGATTCCATCTTAAAAACCTCGTTTGGCATACAGTACAAAAACAATTGCAGTACAATAACATCAAATGCCGAGGTTTCAACAAAGGACGACATGGAGATTACAGCAAGCGGCACCGAACCCTTTCTATAGTGGGCATCAAAAAACAGACCGACATTTGTCATTAAACAGGTTAATATTTCCATTCTCAGAAAGACAAATACAGAAAAAAAGGTTGGCTACGGTAGACAGGTACGGCGGAGCAAGTGGTGTTATATGGGATTCAGCCATCGCCTCGAAATGAAGACGAATGCGGTATTACCACGGACAGGAGTAACAATGAAGCGCTGATCCAGCAACGTGACAAAGCTCAGCGCAAATGCTTGTGGAAACAAATGCAAAAGCAAACCTGCCAACGAAGCCATGGACGCCGGTAAGCCGTTACTGACGTGGTTAAGGATATCGACAAGGCATGCTACAACATCTGGATCTTGTCGCCGGAAAATTTGATGATCTCCGAAGCAACTGAAATAAGAATCATGGCTTATCTAACACTTCCTTGGGTAACACCAGATTCATTAAATGAGAAAATATGGTGAGAACAGCATGGCTAACCTGTATAAGAAAGCGTTCACTTCGTTCTCATATTCTTCCTTTAAGCAAATGGGCTCGCTCTGCAAAGTAAAAGATTTGAAGGGAATGCATAGTAAAAAGAAGAACAAAGGAAAATTTACAAAACTGTTCTAACCATGACGTTGTGGACTTTCTTAATATGAACCCGAATATTGGAGATGTGATATGTTGAAGAAACATCGCAAATAGGACACCTGTACAGTGGCCGCCGAAGGTGACACCTCTAATTGGACAATTCTCTCGAGGGATCAAAAACAAGCAAGGCGTGCATAAAATGTAGATAGAAGAATACAGACGAAAGGAGGAACAATAACCAATTAGAAATATGGTATGTTCAGGAGCAATGCAATGGTGAACTTACGAATATATATGCATTCTTCTAAGAGTGGATTTGACATGGAGTTCACAAATGCGACAAAATGCCGACCTCCGGGATGTACTCTCAAATTCCTAAAAACCGTGAAACTAGGAATTATTGTTCGCAGAGAGCACCACCGTCTCAAAATGACTAGACAAGTTCAGTCTGAGGTGAAGCCTAACGAAGCAAAGAAAAAATTACCACAGGACATCTCTTCCTAGTTACGTCATCATCACTCAACCCCGTGTCGAGACTGGAAGATGGCAGATTCCATTTTCCTCAAACATGAAAAACAAGGTGCAATTACTTCTAGAGCACAACAAATCAATCGAGGTACCAGCCGTTCCCCGGTTACTGAGAGATGCCACACTTGGGCTGTCGCTAGACAAATCACTACTCAGAGTAGGATACCTGAAAAGTCAGTGCGTGTATTAAAATGTGCAACTACCGTCCGTTGTGCTAAGTTCAACGAAAAGGTTCGTTTTTGTGCTCGTGATTGTCCGTCAGAGGCGCACGCATAGTCGGTCGTCCGACAGCAACGATCGCAACTGTCTGACTGTCTAACTGCATCTAATCGTCGAATACTCAGGCAAGTCCGACGATCGATACGCATCCAATGCTGTGCGACAGTTACGATCGTTGCTGTCGTCCGACCGACTATGCGTGCGCCCATACTCGGCGATTGAACGAGCGACAGAGAAGCGATTAGCGATCGCGATCGCCCATCGCTTGTCCGTCGCTCTCATGGCGACCGTATTTGGGGCTTTAGAGGAAGAATTTTGGTGAATGGAAGTGTGTAGGAGGTTGTCGTTTGGATAGTTGTATTAATACCTGGCTCTCATTTTAAGGGGGGGGGGGTCTTGGGGACGGAGATAGTGTAAGGCAGATGTCAGACTTTGCATTTACTGGCGCGCCAACAATTTTGGCAGTATGCCAGCGATTCTAGCGTTTCGTCAACAATCCCAGCGAGTTGGTGGCAGGTTCAAAACACTATCGACACGGTGAATTTAGCAGGGGTTGTACGAAGAACTCCTAAAAGCAGTGTTCACGGAAATTTTGAACTTGGTACAACGACTAGTTGAAGGCGCATGTAATCGAGAGGGAGAGAGGTCACACCGCAAAAAAGGTAACACACGATGTAATTCCTCCACTATAAACCATTAGCTTTGTGCGTCGTTTTTTTCGTCTGTCGAGTAGCGTGTCGATTTCTCTGCCTATCTGCGAAATTTTTAGGGGGAAAAGGGAAATGATACCAGCGCCTATCAACAGAACTAAGAAGTTCAGTTGATCTCGCGGTATCAATCTAATGAATCGTTGCGGCTCTGATAGCCATCCGACTGTTGCAGAGGACTAGGAGGACTAGTATTGGGCACCCTTCTCGCCATCCCACTAGGTGGTCAATTCGCACGTGGAGGCAAATGTAGGAGGAACTAAGTGCTAACAAAAGCAGTGCTCAAAAGCCAGTCTAAGCGGCGATGTCGTGACAGCACCCACATCTGCAGAATAACTATCCACTTCGTGCACACCCATTCACTCATGAGATGTTGACCGCATGAAAAAGGCGGAGGTATAGCGTACACAGCCTATGCGAGAAAAGGTAAATTCTAACATTGCGAGATTTCTGGCCTAGTGAACCACACCCAATTATAACTATTTTCACAATCTGACAAACTCGGCGAATTTATAGTGAATTTGACAAATTGTAAAGAAAGCTACGAATTTACCGGAAGCAGACATTTGTCATAAGTGCTTTCCTTTTTCGACTGGATGAATGCCGGTTGGTAATCACACCATCTGTCTGTGCCTGACTTCCACTGCTCCAAAGCTCGGAGAACGAGTCACCAGACGCTTTCATGAGGCGAAAAAGCTGCGAATGTGGTAAAATAAGATATGCGTGGACCCTGTGACCGACTACTTGTCAAACCTCATTCTCGTTCTCTCCACCTTCGACCCAATCAGGACCACCCGAGGAAATTTCTTGCTCAATTCCTCCCCATTCGGGTACCTAAACTTGAACTTAATTATAAGGGAAAAGAGAATTCTCTATTTACTTTGACGGAATCTTGCAGTTGCAGCTGCAGATTTAGCAGCACACGCAGTGATCCCTTGAAAAGAATGATATCTCGTAGGCTTTTCGATGCTCTTGATGTAATCTGATGTCACGTGTGTTACTAAGTTTGCAATTATGACATGATCTGAAGCGGTCATTCTCACATCATCCACGTATCCCTCGAGGTCTATTGGAGGTGGCGCATCACTGTGCCAGTTCGGAGTGTCTGTTAAACTAGGTGAGCTTCTTTCATGTCTCCTTTCATAAATGATATTGACTCGAACAAGTTTTGTCCTGAAATCACATTTTCAACACTATGCTCGAACACTCAAAAGTAAACATGGATCAAAACCAAGATTCATGGGTTCAACAAAGTTAAAGATTTATGTTCTAGAAATGAAAGAAATCAGCGTGCACCTTCAACGGCCTCCTGCTACAGTTGGATGACCGTCCGACTCGGCGATTGCGTTATCGCCAAGTCTGACGGACATCTTACCGAGGTGGGTGTGAGTTATCTCACAACAAGTTCTACACCTTCACATGAAAAAAGCATTTGAATCCGTTTTTGCACAGTTGTTTGGCAACAAAACTTCACAAATGAAGAGAATGCTTTTCTTTCCAATTTCGGCTGACTCATGGGAAAGCAATGAATTCGAATTGCTAGTTGAGTTGAAATGGTGCTAACTTAGTTGGGGGGGGGGCACGCGGCGGCGCGGCAGTCTGCTCACCTGGGCTCTCTCGAGCGAGACAGTGTAAACTCGAACATTCCAGCTTTTCACGCATGTCAAGTGACTGCCCCCACCCCCCACCCCCTAGACTGCTACACTCCCCCTGGCCCACGGATTTCCGAACATGCCAGGCGAGCAGACTGCCGCGCCGCCGCGTGGCCCCCCCCCCAACTAAGTTAGCACCCAAAAAAGCTTCATCCACTATCCAGTTAAAGTTGAACTTGACTACGAACAACCTACTCGATTGTTCTTGACGCTGACAAAACGCACCGTTGACGGACCTGATTCTGCTAAGTCATACATGTAGCTCGGCTCCAAAGACTCCTGATTTGATGGGATTTCAATCGAATCTTAATGTGTACACATACTTCACGACAATGTACCAGCAAACCGGTTCCTTCCGCAGCGATTGTGGTGATTGAACTATCTGCTCTAACAGCTGCTAAGTCTCATTTAGTAAGGAGAAGGGGTGTGGTTAACTAAGACAGAAAGCGACTTTTCCGCGTTTCGCACTGCGAAACGTTTTTCCTGCAGGAACCTCAGGTTCACCGCTAATCATGAGTGGACCTGGAGTTCTGCAGTGAACCTTACCTAAGGAGAAGTGCATGCGGTGCTGCAATTGCTGCCGCCTACAGAAATTCAATTTTGCAGATGGGAGAAAATCCCGAGATGTGTGAACCTTTTTGCTTCAGCTTTTATGTCCATCCCGGAACTTTGTTCCCCTGCGAAAAAGTGGGTTTCTTTAGGCGATATGGACTGTCGCACCGCAGTATAGTAGTGGGCCCTAATCAACTATTAGAACCCCATGAGCCCAATTTTCTGTCTCGTGCAAACTTCTTTTGGAGTAATTCGATGCACTGATTACGAAAATGACATTCGTTTTTGCCTCAGGCCATTCGGCTTCAGCTAGTGCCACTATGTCATGACGGAAGTGAACCGCTCACCTCATGATCTCACACACTTCGACCTTTGCTACAAGGTGCGTAGTTTACTCACCCCGGAGTTTCCCCTCTCCCCTAAGCAGAGCCCTAGGCACTGTAATCAAGAGAGCGAGAGCAAGAAATGACTTAAACAGCTAATGCCAAGACCGTAATGCTACCAGCTAATGTCATATTCGTAAACAGAACATCAAACAACACCAATACAGAAGCTTGTACCGAATGCGGTGAAAACATCGCTAAGTGGCGCCAGCGCCAAAAATTGGATGCTCTTCGTGATTAGACCATCGAATTACCCCTAACGCAAGGTTCCGAGAACAAAATTTTGAGATATCGAGTTTGTAATGGGTGACTAGCACGTAATAATGTATATAGTGCTGAATTAAAAAGAACGCCATCCATCGCTAACAAGCCTTCATTGGTTGGGCGAGGCGTAATGTTGTTTGCAATGGAATTGTTACACAACAGGTGCGAGAATTGACGACACTATGGTCACATCCCATCTTCACGTTCTAGTATACATGTAGTGACAAACAGACATCCTCAATGCTGCTCTCTGAGGGCCTTGATGAAGAAATAAAGGCGCAGTAAGCCTCAGAGAGGGGGGGGGGGGGAGGTGAGGTGGGTGCCATATGTCGGGTCCACGTCCACTGTGAAGGGGCGTGGCCCAGGTTACGGTATCGAAGGAGGCTGGCGCTGGCTAGCCGGAACTCGGGAGTGATGGTCCAACCCTGACCATACTCACCCCGCTCAACGACGCTGTTCCTTCCTTAATATTATATTAATAAACCAGATTAGTCCCCCGTCAACCGCCGGGACCTTCCTTTCCTGCGCAAGCTTTCTATCCTCCGCTATGGTCCCTTCCTCCTGTGACACCAACACCTCTGGAAGTGACGCGTATGCAACACAATGGTGTTTCATACAGTAGAAGGGACACAATCATGATATGACGGTAGATTTTTCGCTTCCCTTCCTCATCCTCCCTTCCTCTCTCCACTGCCCTCCAGCTGCCACTGCAGCACCATGTGGAATGAACGGAAGTGTGCTAAGCAGGTGTTTATATAGCCCTAAGAGTGTTATCACAACTATCCTGCTACAAAACATTGATATCTCAAATCCTGTAAGCTACCCGATTTGTTAGCGGTTTGTTTATCCCATGAGCTTCCTTCTCACTCACTTCATTTTGCGGACGGACACACATACATACATACATACATACACACACACACATACAGACACACAAACCGACACACAAAGTTAGCGCTTTATAAAATAGAAGGATATATAGCTATATAGTGTTCTGTTACGATATTCACCCTACCCGCTACACACCTTCAGATTAAGGAGTAATTAACCTGTAATCTGATATGGAGGTCCCAGGTAGATAATTTTTTCTCAACTTTCCTATAATTTCTAATTCACTGGTACCAAAAACAAAAGTTTAATAAGGGATTACAAATTTCAAATTAACCACCCACCCCCTCACCCAACACCCCTCTTCGTCTTGATAAGTCGACGTATCAAAAGAAGACCCTGGCAGATCCTTCTCAAGGACATCAACTGTATACAGGTATCATTTATTTATCCTTCTTATTACCTTATTACCATAATTGTGAAAATGTTGTTATAAACAAAAGTAAAAAAAATTGTTATATTATTAATCATGTAGTATAAAAGTCCTGGCGACGAGATCCCCTTTCACGGCTACCCATATCTCACCAATAGAATTCACAAACGTCGAAATCAGTGCAGTAATTAGTGAACCATAAATTTATTTCGCGTGATAGGAACCTCGGCTGTTGGCGGAAGTATAATTCCATCCCAGTCTGGCCTACGGTTTCCTTTAGCTTTCTTACCTCGAAGACTAACGGTGCGAAGCTTAACCTTCAATCCAGTCTTTGAGGCTCGTCTTAGTTTTTCCAGACAACACGGGCACAGTCCTGCTGTTAGTCTGCTGCGTTCACGGGTTTTCCGCGATTATTGCCGTGCTTTTAGACGTCGTAGTACTTATATCGATGATTAGGTTACCTGAAATTGGATTTGGTTGAAACACCTTCTAATATCTGGTAAACCTTTAGTTACAACAAAATCACTTACACCATTGAATTTAGTTAATTGCCGCTTAATTTATGTTTTGAAAGGACTCGCTCGCCATTTAGTCGACTCAAAATGAGAATTAGCTACTCTCACTAACCCTTAGGTTGCAGAAGGTACTATGCACTAACAGACGGGCAATATGTTCCGAATAGCTAACTGCGCAATTGCTCTAAGGATGCCTGCCGATAAACAATATAGCAAATCTACCTCGCATCTGTGGGAGAAGCGCACATTTATTTGCGCAATTAAGAAAGAAAAACCATTATAAACAAAATAATTAGATACGGTTCGTTTCGCTCCTTCCTCAGACGAACCTTATTATTTCGTCAATCCCCGGAGCTCATCAGTGAGTTGGGATTGGCGAAATAAAGACACAGGGGAAAGACGAATAAACCTTGATGTAACGTACTTTCATGCAGAGGAGCATGCAATGAAATGAATTGTATATTGACTAAATGAATGAAAAAATAAGTTGATTAAAAATGTAAAACTATAAAGTGTAAAAGGTGGGTGTTTGTAATTGTTCCACTAACAATTAGATAGCACTTTAGTGACGAAGTATTCCTTCCACTAACTTACTAATATTTTTATAATTATTAGCAATTGAAAATTTGTAACATATAAACTTATTTTTATAAATGCACTTAACTATATTAGTTATAATAAAGTTCTCATGGTAACCATTTCCTAGTAACACTCTTATGAATTCTGTTAGTTTTTCAGTAAAGGTGTCAAAAACGGAACAAGTGTTAGCTATTCTAAGTGTTTCAGTGTATATGACGGAACCTTTATTGTTTATGGAGATATTTGTGTCATTGTGTGGGAATCTGATGACCTTGAACTGAAAATCATCTGTTTTGTTATACAATCTAGTTACAACTCTGTCATTTATTATACTAATTGTTAGATCCAGATAATTACTAGATGTTTCACTTAAGCATTTTTTTTAGCATATAATTTTATATTTTATTGTTATTAAAAAGGATTAGAATAAGTTGAAAAGAATTTTCAACCAAGCGAATATGTTTTGAAGGATACAATT